CGCCCCGCCCCCAGGGAGGGGAGCAGTGGGGCTGCTGCCCGGGCGCCCCGCCCCCAGGGAGGGGAGCAGTGGGGCTGCCCGCCCGGGCTGGGGGCCACGGCCGGCTCGCCCCCAGGGGAGGCTGCCCGCGGGGGGCTGGGCCAGCTGAGGGTCACCCCGCGGCACTAACGCGCACAGAGGTCAATGAAGAAGCCGTGCTCCTGGCACGTCTGAGGATGAGGGCGCGAGAGACCGCGGCCACAAGTCCGGAACGCCTTAACCTAGTTACATTAAAGATCCTGAAATGAAACAGCCTCCAAAGCTGAGGGGGTGGGGTGGGCTGGTCGACTTTGCCATGAGTGAGGGCAGGCACAGTCGGTGGGGGGCTCACTAATTTCCCGTCTGCTTCTCCTCCCGCCCCCGGGTCGAGTGGAGGAGGGGTCGCGAGGCTCGGAGGAGACAAGTGAGCCACTGAGGCACTTTAGCTGTGTCACCAGGGGCGAATCTCTAAAGGTCCTGGAGCCTCGGCTTCCCGGTCGGTAGAATGGAAATGGTATCTATCAGTGGCACCCACCTCCCGAGGTTGCTAGGAGATTCAATAAAATCTGCTGACAAAATGCTGGGCAAACCTGACGGTGATGGCTGGTGTAGGAAGGCGGAATAAACCACAGGGACGGGGGCTGGCCTGTGCCTTCACTGCTGGGGTCATTCCCAGAGGAGGAAATTCCCTCTACCAATACGACTGACACCTTTGCTGCAATTTCGAGTCTTCGTGGTCCGGACTAGAGCACTGGAAGTGAAGGGACCCACCCAGCCATCGGGGGTCAGGGGGTGGGGGGCGGCGGCTTAGGGGGGATGACAAAAGAGAGAAAAGAAGAGTATCCCGAGAGACCCGTATGCCCGGCTGCGGGGGCAGCTCTGCCCCTTCCACGGAATGGCCTCTGGGAGGTAAAGCAGAGGGGCAGGGGCATTCTTCGAACCTCTCTGGCAGGCTGCTGTAGCCTATGGAGCCCTTCTCACAATCTGCTTCGGATGCAGAAAAGAAAATACACAGGATTGCAAAGGAAACTAATTACAGTGAAAATCAGGATGCGATTAGTTCCCATTCAGGTTCAAGAGCCCCAGGTTGAGAGACCCTCCCCCAACTGGGCTCTGAAGTCCTTTTCCGGAGCAGGGAGATCTTAAACAGGATCTGTCCAACCCCTTCCCATTTTCCATATTTCTACCTACTATGGGTAAATCCAAGGATCTTTGGCCTTTCTCATTAACACCAGACTTCCTAAAATGCCTTTAATTCTTGATACTTGCAAAGGGTTGCAAAGCAACCGGGATCTAGAAATGTACCAGTCAGTAAAGTCAGCCAATTAGCATTTATTAAGTGCCTACTACATACCAGGCACCTTATCAAGTGCTGGGGATACAAAAAGAGGCAAAAGACAGTCCTGCCCTCAAGGAGTTCACAATCTAATGAGGGAGTCAATATGCAAAAAAAAAACAGGAAACAATTCAGAGAGGGAAGACACTGGCATTAAGGGGGCTAGGGAAAGGCTTCCAGTAAAAGATGGCATTTTAGTTGAGACTTGAAGGAAGCCAGAAAAAAAACATTAGGCAGAGATGAAGGAGAGTATTCCAAGCATGAGGCACAGTCAGAGAGAATGGCCAGAGCCCAGAGATGGAGCAGCAAGGAGGCCAGGGTCACTGGGTTGAAGGGCACATGTCAGGCAGTCAGGTATAAGGAGGGGGTCAGGTCAGGAAGGGTTTGGCATGCCAAGCAGAGCATTTTGTATTTGATCCTGGAGGCAATAGGGGACCACTGCAGTTTACTGAGGAGGAAGATGACGTGGTCAGACCTGGCCTTTAGGAAAATCACTTCAGTAGTTGAATGGAGGATGGACGAGTGGAGAGAGACGAGGCAGGCAGACTCCTCAGCAGCTATTGCCAAGGGCAGGGGTGAGGAGAAAAGGGCCTGTACGGGGCGGGGGAGGGGGGGTAGCAGCATGAGAGGAGAGAGGGGAACGAATGCCAGAGATGCTGCAGAGGTGACATGGACCAGAGGTGTAGCAGAGGCGAAATGGAC